CCGACATTAGTGGGGTACGAAGGGGCAGCTGGGTTCAGAGAGGAAGACACGCTGCCAGGAGAAGGCATGGTGAATGACTGCAGGACGAAGAAATGGGAGGAGCCGACTGCGCTAGAAAGGGAATTAGCAATGGGGTATTGAGAGGAGGCAACCAAGGCAGTGGGAGTGACGGAAAAGGAGAGGAGAAGAGCATTAGGACAGGCCATGGACGGACAAGTTATGCAGTGGCTATTGCGGCGGATGTGGAGAGGGTTGGTGCTGGAAGAGGAAAGAGGAGAAGGGAGTGTGAGGACAAGGGTGGAAAAGATGGGGGCATGGGCATGCATGGCAGCCAAGGAAGAGCCGGGGTGGGTTGTGGGGAATGAAATGAGTGAGAAAGGAAAGGAGGCAATGCAGGAGGTGCTGGCAAGGTATAGGCACGCCTTCGCGTTCACCATGCAGGAGCTGGGGAAGTGTTCTGTGAAGGAGATGAAGCTGAAGTTGGTGACTGATGAGCCGGTGTTCCAGAGGAAGCAAAGGATGACACCTGGAGATGAGGATGTCTGCAAAGAGAAATGTAGGGAGCTGATGGAAGCAGGGCTGATACAGAGATCGGAATCAGAGTATGCAACACCTTCTGTAGGAGCTGCCCGGAAGGACCTGCTGGGGGAGGTGCTGAGCAGACGCATGTGCGGGGACTATCGAGCACTGAACAAGGTGAAAGTGCCCGACTGGTACCCAATGCCCACAGCCGGTCCGGATCCTATTGGGCCTGAGAATCCGGACGCGCCTTCAAGCCCGGATTCTATCCGGGCTGTCCCTCCTGCGCCGGCTGGTGTTTCCGACACCGTTCACATTGGAACTTATGCGTCGAAGTCGTCAGCATCGCGCACAATCAAGCTCAAGCAACAGAAGCTGAGTTTCTGGAAGGCATCATCAAGTGTCCCAGTCTCGGAAGCTGTTGTAAGCAAAACCACCGTGCGCCCTTCTCTTAACATCAACGTTCAGGAGATCGTTGATGCCATCTATGCCGAGGCATTGGAGAAGTGCAAATTCAAGTGGCTGTCTCAGGGGGATGCTATTCATCGCATCCTTGCAGTGTGGCCTGCTGTCATCATTTTCCTGGAAGAGTGCCATTCCGCCATGTACTTGCTCGTCACCTCGTACCGGTTCCACTTTTTCGTGTATTTTCTTGCTGATGTGCTTGAGAAGTTGAACATCCTGAACAAGACCTTCCAACGGCGCCAGGTAAGGATTGAGTGTGCTTTTGCTTGTCACTGTTTGTATTTATTGTTGTCTGTAAACAAATCTCACATTGGTCTCTTTTTACTTTCACATGCTTGCATTTGGACCTTGTCTTTCTGCACGGTCATATCAAGTGCACCACATCACACATCGAGAGTTGATATGTCGACTGTGGGGACGACTTCGGCGGTGGCTTGAGCTGCTGGCTTTCGCCCTTTATCGAGCGCTATGGCCCAGGAAAGGACCGCGAAGTGACTATGGAGGGGCCCGATTCTGATGGCCGACCGTCATCATTCAAGTTCACGCTCCATGAAGATCCAGTCGAAGGCTACAAACACCCCAGAAATCATGACGCGTGCGTTGACCTCTGCACCGACTTCGCGGAACGCATCGTGGCGAACCTGGAGAGGAGGCTGGTTGACTAATTCTCTGTCTGGTGTCCGACTGTTCCTGCCCGATGAGTGGCAAGCCGGAGCGTCATGCATGATGCGTTGAGTGGCTGCAATCGCTGGTGGCGCTGTTCAAGGCAGAAGAGGATGAGGACATACTGCCAGGTGAAGTTATGTTTGTTCTGCCCGTTTGCTAGACTGCCATGCAATTGTTTCACGAGTGCTCTACCGCCATGCCAGCTCGTGGCCGATTGCCACGGTCAATGTTTGAGTTGTCTTGCATTGTTTGCCACCCAAACCTCTTGTTTTGCAGCCCTGCCAGGAATCAACAAGCGGCAGGCACACAAGGAGCTTCGGTTATTCTGCTCCGTCCGTGCCGCTTCACCGAGAGGGGAGAGGTCTTTCCACGATGGCCTCACCGCGGTTTTGAAGACCTCTGGCTGGCGGGAGAGCTACCCCAACCTCGTGCAGCTGTGGGTAGCCATGGCGGTGATTCCCTTTAGCACTGTGTAGTGCGAAAGGGACTTCTCGCGGTAGAATGTGATCAAGTCTTGGCTGCGGAGTGGCCTCAAAGATGCAAGGCTGGGCGACTTGATGTGCATGTCTCTGATGCCGTACGAGTCTCAGTACGACGAGGCGGTCGAAATCTGGAGAAGCCACAAGAAGAGAAAGCCATTTTCTAATGCCCCAATTTCCACCCCAGATGAAACCAGCAAGAGGGGGAAAGCATCAGCTATGGAAGTAGATGACAACAAGGCTGTAGTAGCCTTAGGCTCTAGGGATAGTGAAGGTTCCAGTGATGAGGATGAAGAGGATGATGAGGATATGTCACGATTAGTTTTCCTGTAAGCTGCTCTTATCAATGCAAAACTTAGTTGCGTGTTGTCCTGCCTGTTTAAAGCCAGCAGCTAAAATAGTGACCCCCCCCTTCTAGTTGGGTCCACTTGAAAACAGAAGTTTTTTTGGAACGCTTCGTAAAGTTGGAAGTGCTGTGCTTTTATAAAATTTTCACTAGAGATGAGTCTCGGTGTGAACAAGAACATTTGGAACATGTGTACAATTCTGATTGGAAGCGAAACTCACACACAACTCACACATGTATGCGATTTTGGCGCAAGGCTGCAATGCCTGTATGCACCTTGAGCAGTGATCGTAACTTCAAAACATCACATCAATCAACCACCAGGCAAAATCCAGCGCACACACACATGCAGGAGATGAGAGTGGAGGTGGGCCGATGACCTGGCAGATCTGCGAGAAAAGGCGGATGAGAGTGGAGGTGGAGGCTGAAAGAGGTTATAAAATAGTGAGTCGAAGAACGAGGGGAAAAAATAAGTTGGACAAGGTATCACGAAAGGATAGTACGATTGAGATGGAGAGAGAGAGAAGAACAACGGGTTGGGGGGGGAGGAGGCGAACGACGAGATGGGAGGGGAGAGGAGGAACGTGAGCGCGATGCCGACGGGCGGGAGAGCGCGCAGGCGACGGGACGTGAGAGCGCGAAGGCGACGGGTGGGAGAAGGCGAAGGCGACAACAGGGAGAGCGCGTTGGCGACGGGAGAGAGAGGACGAAGGGGACAAGAGGGAGAGCGCGCATGCAACGGGAGGGAGAGGAGACATGCGACAATAGGGAGAGCGCGAAGGCGACGACTGCATCGAGGGTGACGGGAGGGGAGGGGAGAAAAGGAGGTCGATAGGAAGGGAGGGTTTAGAGAGAGGGTGACGAGGGGGAAGGGAAGCGGAAACTGCGAAGGCGACGAGCGGGAGGGGAGAGAGCAAGGGAGACGGGGGGGGAAGGGTAGAGAGACAGGGCGAAGGCAAGATAATAGGCTTTGAAAGCGATGTCAGCGACGAGATGGGACTCTTAGGGGAGAGAGGAAAAACGTCGGGAGGGGAGGAGTGAGAGGGAGAGAGAAAGAGAGCGCGGAAGGCGACGGGAGAGAGAGCGCGGAAGGCGACGGGAGAGCGAAGGCGGCGGGAGATAGGATAAGCGACGGGAGAGAGGAGGGCGACGGGAGAGAGGAGGGCGACGGGAGAGAGGAGGGCGACGGGAGAGAGGAGGGCGACGGGAGAAAGGAAGGCGGCAGGAGAGGGATAGGCGAAGCGCGAGAGAGGAAGGCGACCGGGAAAAATGTAGAGCGACTAGAGGGCGATATACCGAGAGCGCGACGGCTGGAAAAATGTATACTAGAAAAATAATCGTTTATTACATTACGCACGCGAGCTAAGTCGATACTTCGTGCCTGGGCCAGAAACATCTAGGCTCTATCAGCTTTACTACTACCGTATGCTACGCAAAACACTGGTGTCTTCAGGACTGGAAGATGGCTAGTCATTCACCCAGTTCCAACTTGAAGTGGAAGTTGGGCCTGGCGATGGAAACGATCGCATGGCAACGGTCGTGCGGGGAGCAGCGTGTAAAAATGCGACGGCTAACTTGGGCCTCGAAAATCGTTTTGGCGGGAGGGGCAATTTTCAGATTGGTTTGAGCCAATCAGATGAGTTCAACCTGCCAACACGGTTTGTTTGGAACAGTGTTGTATCACCCGAACTATTCGCAGCGATTTCAAGTTGGGTCTTCCTTCACTATTTTATACTCTCGTTTTAAAATGGTTCAGCCTTTTCCGAACAGTGACGCTGATTGTTCAGCTTGTTTTCTGATAGACACACTGAAAAGTCTTTTTTTTTTTTTTTTTTTTTTTTTAACGGCAACACTGAGCGATCAGCCATGATTGTGAAGTGAGCTGTGACCGTGAAGGGTGAAACACACTCCTAAGACATGAACACACTCCTAAGACTGACCGCTCAGTGTTTGGGGCGCGTATAGTGTATGTGCGAACTAGATTTATGTGAGCATATCCGTAGCTACCCCACAAGGCGGGCGGGTGGATCAGGGCAGGTGCGGAGTGTGTCAAGGTAGCATACAAATAGACCTTAGGTGCTAGTGTATGGTTCTTATGGTTGGTAAAGGTACCACTCCTTTTCCGGCTTTTGACGCAAATGGGCGATGCGTTGCCACTACTAGGGTGTGTTGACAGTTTGCAATGGGAGAAGTGTAAAGAAATATACTGGTAGCAATGTTTCCAGATACAAGACTTAGAGCTGCAAGGAAAAAGCAGGTCGTAACTAGTTGGTGCACAATCACAAGTGAACCCTGTCCGACAAGGCAGCGTGAGAAACACGGACGTGCAATATCGCGGGGTACGCAGACCAGGGGCAGCAGAAGTTGCTAAAGTTGCAGGCAAAGGGGGATATTCCTCCAACGGCGGAGAAGCTTCTGAGAAGCCGAAGAAACGAGGCAAGCTGCCAGGATCACAGAGTGAGAGTAGGGGCAGGGAGTAACGCGAGTGAGGATGCGGAGGGCGTGGAAGGTGGAGCAGCAGGGCCTCAGGGCCACCTGAGGGTCCAGAGTGGAACCTGAGAGGCATGAGGGGGGGAGGCTGATCCAGGGGGATAGCGGGGCGGTAGAGCAGCATGTTGAAAGGTGGGAGGGCAAGGATGAGGCGAGCTGTGGGAGCCACCAGGGTGGAACGAGCCCGACCCGGAGGGAAAAGGGGGGGCGGCGTCGTAACGACGAAGGGCACGAAACTGGGGGGAGAGGCGGGTTGGAAGCACCGGGAAGAGGGGGGGGGACGGGTGGTGTGAGCTGAGACCGTGAAGGGTGAAACAAACGCGGCAGGGGTGCTGGAGAGGGAGCCAGGGTGGTCCAAGAAAGGTGGCTGGGGGCCCGACGGGCTTCCCGAAGCACAAGGCCAAACGCCAAAACGAATCTGAGGCCCTGCTCAACATCTTGTGCAGGCAGTGACACACTCCTGCTCTGCAAATTAGAATAGAACCCACAATGAGATTACATTAACTTCCAAAAAAAAAGTTAACACCAAAAGAAATGTAAAGAATGAGACTATAACGAACCAAGGATGTCACTTATGTTGATTCTGCTGCAGGGATGGAATTAGCAGAGAGCATGTGCATTAGGGGATGCTTGGCTGGTTACAACAATTCCTGCCAGCTCTGGCTGCGGCTGAACCCACTCCGCTTGGCCTCCAGTACCACAAGGCATCATAAATTTCATAAGAGCACGACACCAGCGCTCCACACATTGCAGCACAGGGCATCCACGCATCGCACATAAAGAGCGTTGGTGTCATGCCTTCCGCCATCCCCCACCATCACTGCTGCTGTTGTTGTTGCCTCCATAATTCATGCTGCTAACACTGCTGCTGTTGCTCGCAGTGCTGTTCCCATCAAAGGGAAACAGGCCACAGGGCATCATAAAGAGCACAGCACCAGCGCTCCACACATCACACTCAGCCCCGTACTACTCAGAAAACACCTCCAAGCTCCGGAGCCATATAGGCTGATGTGCTCACCACCCCTGATAGAGCAACACCCGGAGTGTGCCTTGCGGTCAATCCAAAATCAATCAGCTTGACTTCACAGTCATTGCCATTAGCTTTCCCGGTATCCTCGTTATTAGCATGATCCGACAGAAGGATGTTCTCGGGTTTAACGTCGCGGTGCACGATGGCGTGCGAGTGGCAGTGCTGCAAGGCCAGCATGAGCGATCGGAAAATGCACGCTGCGGAAGGTTCTGAGAGCCTTTCGTGCGAGTCAATGCAGTCAAACAGGTCTCCCCCCTCACCGAGCTCCATCACCACGTGCACGTGCTGGTGTGGGGAAAGAAGGGAGGGAGAGGTGTGGGAAGAGGGCAAGGGGAAAAATATTTGAGCAACCTTGTCGAGTTTTAGGAGACAGCTGGTAACCTCTACAGGGAACATGCACGTGCTGGGGGGGTTGTGGAGGGAGGCAAGGGAAAGAGGGAGAGGGATAGGAAGAGGCAAGGGAAAGAGGGGAGGGATGGGAAGAGGCAAGGGAAAGAGGGGAGGGATGGGAAGAGGCAAGGGCAAGAGGGGAGGGATGGGACGAGGCAAGGGAAAGAGGGAGAGGGATGGGACGAGGCAAGGGAAAGAGGGAGAGGGATGGGAAGAGGCAAGAGAAAGAGGGAGAGGGATGGGAAGAGGCAAGGGAAAGAGGGGAGGGATGGGAAGAGGCAAGGGAAAGAGGGGAGGGATGGGAAGAGGCAAGGGAAAGAGGGAGAGGGATGGGAAGAGGCAAGAGAAAGAGGGAGAGGGATGGGAAGAGGCAAGGGAAAGAGGGGAGGGATGGGAAGAGGCAAGGGCAAGTGGGGAGGGATGGGAAGAGGCAAGGGAAAGAGGGAGAGGGATGGGAAGAGGCAAGAGAAAGAGGGAGAGGGATGGGAAGAGGCAAGGGAAAGAGGGAGAGATGGGACGAGGCAAGGTAAAGAGGGAGAGGGATGGGACGAGGCAAGGGAAAGAGGGAGAGGGATGGGAAGAGGCAAGAGAAAGAGGGAGAGGGATGGGAAGAGGCAAGGGAAAGAGGGAGAGGGATGGGACGAGGCAAGGGAAAAGAAGGGTAAGCAAGGTTGAGCGTGCTAGGAGTATGGCAGCAATGTGTTGGGAGGCAGTCAGTTATGGCAACAGAAGGGCTTGATTCAGAGGGCCAAGAGGGAAGGATCAGAATTGGTTGCATCGTGCAAGACTCATGCACGGTGCCACACAGGTTTGAGCATCTCACGTCATTCTTCATGCATTCATAATGGGGCAGACAGAAGGTAACAGACAAGGGTAACTTACCCTGTGCGTATCCCTGCTTGATCCAAAAGATGTCAATGTGGCCCTTGAGCTCCTCTGTGACTGCCACGTCAGCAGCGCACAGCACAATTGGAAAGACAAAAGGCACAGCAGAAAGGGAAGGAGAACAGGAGGCAAACAAATTTGGTTCAGGAGGAGAGAAAACAGGAGGGAAAATAAGGCCGGGAGATCAGGGCAGGGTAACCAGGGTGGGGAGGGTGGGGAGATGAGGGTGGGGAGATGAGGGTGCGGTGGGGAGGTAAGAGTGGAAAGGTAAGGGCAGGGAGATCCCCTGACAGGGAGCGCCCTACCTGAATGGCAGCCTTCCGGATGCTCTTGCAGGCGGCGATCTCCCCGGTGCTGCGGTGCACGCATCGCCGAATCACACCTACTGCCCCCTGCATATCTCCCTCCTCAGCAGAAGCCACTGCCGCCCCAACACCGCCCCCACTTGCACCTCCCTTTCTACCGGTGCTGGGAATGCGAGTTTACAGGCGGTTCTTTCCCGAGGCGCAGCCAACGCTGCAGCAGGCTCGGATCTCAAGTCTGGAGCTGACTCCGAGGCTCGGAATCTGGGGCTGGCGTCAGCAGGGTGCTGATTCGGAATAGCTGTTGTCGCATTCACTGCCGCGTTGACTGCGTTGACTGCCATGACTGCCATGACTGCATTCACTGCATCGACTCTGCTGATGATGATTCTAGGCGTCGTAAGCTTCAGATTCGTTGACTTGAGGGAGTGCGGGTGCAACGAGCTCAAGAGGCGCGTCGTCGAACCACCGCCTCATCAGCCGCTGCTGCTGCTTCCGCCCCAGCACCAACTCGAATGGCATTGGTGCCATTTGAGCCATTGACGCCGCTACTTCGTTCAGCCAATCATTAATCGCCACGTCGGCTGCCGCAGCACCACTACTGGTAGTGCTGGCTCGTCCTTCAACTGAAGACCCGCCGCAGGGAAACGCGCTGGCGGGGGACGGCTCGCCGTCGAATGCGCTGAATTCCGCGTCGTCATCGGACGGCCACGGAATGGAGTCGGCGAAAGGAGAGATCGGGAACGCGTGTGGCGACGCGGAGGCGGAAGGGGAGGCGCCGCCGGGACTGGGGCTCGCGCGAGCGAGTCGCCGCGTCGCGGCGCCGCTGGTCGACGGCGTGGGATGATACGACGACATGATTCCAACGTCGGACGACTCGTCACAAAAAACGGGACGCCCAAAACCTGTCAACACCCGGCGTATCCATCAGCCATGCGCACTGGGGCATGGCTTCGAAAGCTGTGTGCACTCCCAAAGCAATTTTTCTCTCCCAGGCATTGCCTGCGCACTGTCACGGTAGCAACTACCAATGCAACCCCTTTCACATTGTGTCTCCAGCTGGGGTTGGTGTACGCTCTGCAAGCTTCCTTGTCAACATCACTAAACTGTAGCATCCGATAAAAGTAAAGAACAGAGTGTAGTGCCTGTGATTCAGCAATAAACGTAACGTCAAACATAATAAAATAAGGTAAAAAACAGCCATACAGCAACTACTAGCCACACAGTGGACCCCTCCAAGCTACGATAAGACCCAAATGGAAAAAAATAGAATACAGAGGCAAGGGCCGACACGCATTTCATGTTTCTGAGTAGCAACCAAACCAGAAAGAAGGCTTGGTGACAATCATTCCAGCACAAACGATGAACAACGGATAGGATCAACTCCGTATTCCTTGGCGACCTTACGGCAACTCCTCGCGGCATCGGCCAGCCCACCTGTTAAGATACCACAGGCCAGGCGTCACAAACGACTCCACCATGTGCACGGTCCTATGCACGGAGGCGACCGGCACAAGGTCGTAGCTCAGCTCGTCATCAGATGACCGCATCCTCATGCAGCCAGTGCACTCGTCCTCCAGGGAGGGGTACCACTGCCTCACGAAGGCCACGGCCTCTCCCGCGGGGTGTGCATCCTCGCTGTTCATCATCAGCGTCAGGAGCAGGTGCACGCGGCCGACCACCGTCTCCCCGGTCCCATCCTCGTACTCAATGAACGAGAATGTGGCAGCACCATGGTGCGAGGGGTTGGCGCGGACATAGTGTGGCCTGATCAGGCCGTGGTCCGTCCCGCGGGCTGGTAGAGCCAGCGCCGTGTGGACCTGATGGCACGAGAGGGGTAAGGGGGCAGGAGAGGTGGCAGGGTGGTAGTACGGTTAAAAACAGGGTGGAAAAGGAGAGCAAGCATGGTGCTGTCATGGGGGCAGCAGAACCCAGTACTTACCCACGCTGGGAAAGAGACGTAGCCAAAGAGGCGCGTCAAGTAGGCGTATGGCCCGATGCCTCCCGGGATTGCGGCATCGTACGTCGCGTACAGGTCCAGGGGAGCCTGCTCCCTGTCCGTGATCGCGCTGTGCATCCTGGATCGCTGGCGGCACAGCTGGGGCAGCCCACTGGCGATTGCCTGCCATGTGATGACATGTCGGGGGGCAAATGAACGCATGGTGAGCAACTCAGGACCCGCCAAACAGGCGGATGGGGCCAAACACCAGCTTTCCGCACACAATCCTTTAAACTATCACCACCCCTCGGACATACCGCTTACAGCGGCAAGGGCGGACAGAGGCAAAGGGCGGACAGAGTCAAAGGGCGGACAGAGGCAAAGGGCGGACAGAGACAAAGGGCGGACAGAGGCAAGGGCCGACAGAGACAAAGCGCGCTCTCTCCGCCAAGGGCGGACAGAGGCAAGGGCGGACAGAGGCAAGGGCGGACAGAGGCAAGGGTTCACAGAGGCAAGGGCGGACAGAGGCAAAGGGCGGACAGAGGCAACAGGCGGACAAAACAACACGCGGACAGAGGCAAAGGGCAAGTGCGGACAGAGTCAAAGGGCGGACAGAGGCGAGGGGCAAACAGAAGCAAAGGGCGGACAGAGGCAAAGGGTTTGAAGAGGCAAAGGGCGGACGGAGGCAAAGGGCGGACAGAGGCAAAGGGCGGACAGAGGCAAAGGGCGGACAGAGGCAAAGGGCGGACAGAGGCAAAGGGCGGACAGAGGCAAAGGGCGGACAGAGGCAAAGGGCGGACAGAGGCAAAGGGCGGACAGAGGCAAAGAGCGGACAGAGGCAAAGAGCGGACAGAGGCAAAGGGCGGACAGAGGCAAGGGCGGACAGAGGCAAGGGCGGACAGAGGCGAGGGCGGACAGAGGCGAGGGCGGATAGAGGCGAGGGCGGACAGAGGCGATGGGCGGACAGAGGCAAATGGCGAGAGCGGACAAAAAAACACGCGGACAGAGGCAAAGGGCAAGTGCGGACAGAGTCAAAGGGCGGACAGAGGCGAGGGGCAAACAGAAGCAAAGGGCGGACAGAGGCGAGGGGCAAACAGAAGCAAAGGGCGGACAGAGGCAAAGAGTGGACAGAGGCAAAGAGCGGACAGAGGCAAAGGGCGGACAGAGGCAAGGGGGGACAGAGGCAAAGGGCGGACAGGGGCAAAGGCGGAATGACCCGACATGCATAATTACAGCAGACATTAGGGAGCCTTACATGCGTCCTTACCCGGCGCATCGCGGTGTTGTACTGGCGGTCGCCCTCGAGGTTGGTTGGGATACGGGTCAGTAGAGCAGCGTTGGTGTTTTGCTGCGCAATTACACGCCCCACGTCCCGATGGTTGGACCGTCGGTACGGCCTCTTGCAGGTGCGGATGTGTGCGTTCTCGTACACCGCCGCGGAGTACTCTCGTGGCAGCCCCCCCCTTCGAATCGCCTCAGTAAGGTGAAGCAGCAGGTGCACCTTCACAAGGTTCCACCCAGAGTGCTCGCGTGGAAAGGTGCTTTCCACCAACTGCACCATCCTGAAAGCATGGAAACAAAGGGAATAAGTGTCAATGATTAGACTAGACTCCCGCATAACACACGCGGGGTAACTGCAGCGCTTGTGGAAAAGCTCACACACAGCATACCTACGAGTGGCAGTGTCGAACGCACTCAGACTCTCATCCGTGTGCTCCGCAGCCCGCACGAATGTCTCGTGCCAGTCCAGAAAGGCGACAATCGTGCGGCTACAGATGACCTCAACTTCCCCCTCCAGCACGAATGGTTCAATCTGCCACACAGGAAGCGCGTAGTCAGCAAAGGCCATCTGACAACCATCACGTGCATTGGGCACTCGTAAGAGACCATACACTAGAAGGTAGGGGCGCACCATCATGACAGCGGCATGCTCCGACGCGGTGAAGTTGGCACCAGAGACCCAGTAGCTCGCGTCTCCAGGAGTTAGCAGTCCCGCCTGCCTGGCGCCTGGGTGTAGTGCATTCTGACGCCTGCACCATATGAAGGATGTTGATAGCAACGAATGCAAGCAATAGTGAAACAACGACTGAGACATCTTGGGCACCAATCGCAGTGGGTTTGACCTCGTGAGGTTGCATCGCATTAGGCAAATGCCTATTGACAAGGGCGGACAGAGCAAGGACGGACAGAGGCAAGGACCTGTATAGGCAATGGCGGACAGAGCAAGTACCCACAGAGCAAGGGCGGGAAGAGGCAAGGGGCGGACAGAGCAAGGGCGGACATAGGCTAGGGCGTACAGAGCAAGGACGGGAAGAGGCAGGGACGGGAAGAGGCAAGGTCGGGAAGAGGCAAGGACGGGAAGAGGCAAGTGCGGACAGAGGCAAGGACGGGCATCGGCAAGGGCGGACATAGCAAGGACGGGACGAGGCAAAGGGAAGAGGCAAGTGCGGACAGAGGCAAGTGCGGACAGAGGCAAGGGCGGACAGAGGCAAGGGCGGACAGAGGCAAGGGCGGACAGAGCAAGGACGGACAAAGGCAAGTGCGGACAGTCGAGCTGGACACCCGCCTAGCAAATGCTTAGGGGCAATCGTACCTGTCTAAGGTGGTGGCGCGGGAATCAGGGCCCCGCAGTGCAGCGCGAAGGTACAGCCAGAACCCGAGGTAGATGATGTGTAGGATGTCTGGCATCTACGGGAGAGGTAGGTGTTCCCCCAAAGTGTACGGGAGAAGTTCCACTCCCAGAGGAACGACTGCATGCACAGAGCAAAAACGACGTACACACTTGGCCTACCGCATGGGCTGAACAACCAGGCCACGACAGGCGCAAACCTCGAACTTAGAGCCGATACATACCGCGACACAGAGCGTGGAGTACGTCCTGGCTAGCCGAGGATTGGCAATCAGTGACGATTGCTGGTCCACAGAGCGCGACTCCGACGCAGCTGCCGTCATGTTCCTGAGCTGCCCCCTATCCACGTAGCACAGGGAGCATGGCATCTGACTGCCATGCTGCTGAGTGCACGAAACCTTGCAGGTTTCTGGGAAGTCCGCTACGTACGAGAAGAGCAGAGGCCATATGACCCGGTCCACCCCCCATGGATCGCGGGCCGCAATCCCCCTGTAGCAAGGGAGTATTGAGGCAAGGGCGAAGAGAGGCAAAGGCGGAAAGATCTTAGGATCGTAAACACCTTAGTCGGCAATAGTCTACTTGCTATTGCTTATCGTGTTCTCCACGATCTCACGAATCCAATGATATGCGCAGCTCTGCTTGAAGTTGTCAATACACACTTCAGCAATTTTCAGAATCTCCAAGTTGTGTTTTCCAGAATGAGTACAAGCAGTTTTATAGTCAAGCAAGTCACAAAATGCGATTCGTAACTTCACTTGTTTCCCAAGTAACCCCGTGCGTCTCGTTTCACCCCGAGTCGCACACGGAACCGAACTGAATGCACCGAACACTCCTCAAGTCCGAATCTGGAACCTTCTTGAACACGCCTCGAGCTCGTACCACAGTTTCCCCCGTCGATCTCATTCTCGATACTTCTCTACTCTTCTCCTCCATTTCTCTAGTATCTTCCCGATCTCTCTCCCGCTTCTCACGCCGTAGCTTCCAATATCCACCGTAGGCCGATTTCCACCGTTTCACCTAGAATCATCCACGTGCTTCCATTTCGCCATCATTCCGCCGTCGTAGAAGCTTTCGCCGTAGGTTCCGTGGTTGGGCGAACCAACCCTAACAATCTCCCCTGTGGTTCGTCAACCACGAACACCACTCACACTGCTCCCCTGTTCCTCGTAGCCTTCACAGGGTCTAAGTCGCCTTCACACTCCCCTGCAGCTCCTGCACCTTGAACCTCTCCTTACGTGTCTTGAAGTTGAGCGCCTTGACATCCAATCCATGAAACATTTTCTTGAGCCTCTCGCTTCTCCTCGGTGTCTTAACACCCAACACCTCTCGGGTCTCACACCCCTTAACGTGTTCCTCTTTTGTAAGCACTCGCCCCTTTGCAGTTGCATTCGCCTTTGATCCCTTCACCATGATGCCCCCTTTCACAGCTTCAACTCCCACACACTTCGCATTTACTGCTTCATCTTTAACCACGACCGCTGCTGCAAAAGTGTTGACACCATCTCCATCTCCATCATTCACCGCTGCTGCCTCCATGGTGACTATCTCTTCTTCCTGCTTCACTGCTGCCTCCACACTCGCTCCCGTATCATCCGTGTCCTCGCTCTCATCAACCTCAGTAGACTCAGGATCCTCATAGATCTCATCCTTGTCGTTCATCGCTATCAAGTTCATCTCATAGAACCCGTCACTGAAGTATCCATCGGCATACTTCTCCCACTCAGGACCAAACACTGTAACCTCGCCTTTGTCATAAAATATCTTGCACCCCAAGTCATCAAGCTGTGACTGACTCATCAAATTCACCTTCAAATCCTCAACCAAGAGCACATTCTCCAGTTTCACCTCTCCATACGGACTTTGCAGCACCACGTCACCCTCTCCTGTCACTGGTAACTTCCCACTGTTATCTTGCAGTATATAACGCTCACTCGACTCCCTCACGTTCTCCATCCAATCTGACCTGAATGTCATGTGACGCGTGCATCCGCTGTCCATGAACCATGCCGTCTTCTCACGTCCGTCCGTCTGACGAACATCCTTCGGTAAACGCACCACGTTCGCACGATGCGCTCCTCCCAAAATCACATCCTCCTTTTCGGCTTCCGCTACATTCGCCTTACCCGCCACAATCCTCTGCTGCGACGGACCCTTGTAGCTCCTGCTGTTCGGATTGGAGTAGCACTCTGCGGCACGATGCCCATAGCGCCCACAATAATCGCACTTGCCGCCAAAAACTCGTTTATGCTGCCACTCCGCTCCCTCATTTTCTCCTTTATCGTTCTCCATCGCTTTGCCCTTGTAGTTTCTGCTTCGCGGGTTTTCGTAGCAGTTTATCGCCTTATGCCCCCTTTTTCCACACTGGTAGCACGCTCCAAACGCCTTCATTGCATTCACCATAGCCGGCCTTTCCTCGTCGAATTCCTTAGCTGCTGCTGCCGCTTTCTTTTTCCTCATCTCCTTCATCGTCTCAAGCGACTGTAGAATCTCCTGCAGCTTCGTCAAACACTTCGGCGGTTGGTACGTAAACATACCGATGTCGGATTCCCACTCCTTAGGAAGGCCTTGGATGATATAGTCAATCATCTCATGCTCCGTCTCCGCGGCTCCCATCACCCGCAAATCGTCGTTGTAGCCTTTCGCCCTGTTGATGTAGGTGATGATTTTCTCGCCTTTCTCCATGCTCAGCATCAGCAGCTGCTTCCTAATCGCCTTCTTGTTGACATCGTTCGTGCCCATGTACGTGGACTCCAGGTACTCCCACGCTTTCTGTGCAGAGTTCAGCTCCCCTGCAAACTGGTCCAAATCCACTGCGATTCCATCGGCAACTGAGTGACAAAGCTGAAAGAACGCTTGCTTACTTTGTTTTTTGAACGCCGCTATTTTCTCCTTCGTATCCGTCGGGGATGGCGCAACTCCCTCCATCGTCTCCTCGTCGGGACGGTAGTACGGCAAGAGGTCAACCTCCTCTGCCCTCCGAATGAACTTCTTCCGCCACACGTTGTAGTTGCTTCCGTTGAAGCGCTGGGCTTCACTGAGCCCGATCGTCGGTTTCGCCACCAATCGGCCACTCGCAAGGGCCTCGAGAAGAGCCTTCAACTGTGGGTCTCCAAGACTCACACTGGAACCCGAACTCGCCTCGTCTCCCATAGCGTAGGCGTGAACGACTCCTCTTCTCCACTAATTTCACTTAGCGCACCAAGTTAATTCACCGCGACCGACGCGCCCGTTCGCCAAGCTCTGATACCAGTTCTTAGGATCGTAAACACCTTAGTCGGCAATAGTCTACTTGCTATTGCTTATCGTGTTCTCCACGATCTCACGAATCCAATGATATGCGCAGCTCTGCTTGAAGTTGTCAATACACACTTCAGCAATTTTCAGAATCTCCAAGTTGTGTTTTCCAGAATGAGTACAAGCAGTTTTATAGTCAAGCAAGTCACAAAATGCGATTCGTAACTTCACTTGTTTCCCAAGTAACCCCGTGCGCCTCGTTTCACCCCGAGTCGCACACGGAACCGAACTGAATGCACCGAACACTCCTCAAGTCCGAATCTGGAACCTTCTTGAACACGCCTCGAGCTCGTACCACAGTTTCCCCCGTCGATCTCATTCTCGATACTTCTCTACTCTTCTCCTCCATTTCTCTAGTATCTTCCCGATCTCTCTCCCGCTTCTCACGCCGTAGCTTCCAATATCCACCGTAGGCCGATTTCCACCGTTTCACCTAGAATCATCCACGTGCTTCCATTTCGCCGTCATTCCGCCGTCGTAGAAGCTTTCGCCGTAGGTTCCGTGGTTGGGCGAACCAACCCTAACAAAAGAGGCCAGGGGGGCAGAGCCAAGGGCCCATTGAGGCAAGGACGGAAAGAGCCAAGGGCGTAATAAGGCAAGGGCAGACTGAGTGAAGGGCGGACTGCGGCTTTGGCTGGGCCAATGGCTGCTGGCACTCACGTGTGTGATGCGGCAATCAGGTCAGCGAGGACCACCTGCATCGCAGCTTGAAAGAGTTGCACCTTCTGCTCGGCCGTCATTCCATGGACAGGCATTGGGAGTAGTGCAAGCAGAATCTTCCCAGAATCACCCCAACGGAGACGGAGGTGGATGTTGGCGAGGCTTAGGTAAACCGCCCAAACCTTCACGCGCTCGTTCCCGCTGAGAATCGTAGCATCACTTGAAAGTATGATGGGTGCCACCACCTGGCCCGGGCCATAGATCTCGTCCAGGGCGTTCTGTCAACAACAAACACAACATTGGCAGCTTCGTTCCCGATCAACACAATAACTGAGCAACGTGGGAAACAGGATTGTGAATCTAGCCCAACACCATTTGGAGTAACCCAGATGAGTGTCGCCTTAAACTACTTACAAAGGGGGTACAACCCAGAAACACAGTCCCGTACCTGTGCGGCTTCCCACAGAAGACCAGTCTCCGGCCTTGTGTACACGCGTCCCGCCACCGAGTGTACCGGACGGGCAAACAGCTGGAAGCCATCTGCATTGTCACGGTGGCCGAATATCTCCACGACTCCCTGCGCCGGAGCAAGTGCGGACAGTGTCAAGGGCGGACATAGGCAAGGGCGAAATGAGGCAAGGGCGAAATGAGGCAAGGGCGAAATGAGGCAAGGGCGGAGTGAGGCAAGGGCGGAATGAGGCAAGGGCGGAGTGAGGCAAGGGCGAAATGAGGCAAGGGCGGATTGAGGCAAGGGCGGACATAGGCAAGGGCGGACATAGGCAAGGGCGGAATGAGGCAAGGGCGGAGTGACCTAAGGGCGAAATGAGGCAAGGGCGGATTGAGGCAAGGGCGGATTGAGGCAATGACGGACAGAGGCAAGGGCGGACAGAGGCAAGGGCGGACAGAGGCAAGGGCGGACAGTGGAAAGGGCGGACAGAGGCAAGGGCGGACAGAGGCAAGGGCGGACAGTGGAAAGGGCGGACAGAGGCAAGGGCGGACAGTGGCAAGGGCGGACAGTGGAAAGGGCGGACAGAGGCAAGGGCGGACAGTGGCAAGGGCGGACAGTGGCAAGTGTTGACAGAGGCAAGTGTTGACAGAAGGAAGGGTGGACAGAGGCAAGTGCTAACTCTGATTGCAAATCGTACCTCGATAGGGCTGGTACACATCAGCTCGAATGTGTGGTCGATCCCTGGGATGCGCACTTCCACCTGCCTGTACACCCGCCTCGCCATCATGAGGCGAAGTCCGTACTGAAGGACGGCGTGTTTGGTACGCCAGCGGCGAATAGCCTCCAGATCCAGGCGGGGGTCGCGCAGGAGCTCGAAAAGCCAGGCCGTGGCCTCGTCGCTGAGTCCTTGGCCGCCATTGCATCCGATGACGAAGCGGAAGAACTCCAAGGCTGTGTTGAACTCGTTCTCGTCGACGGCGCTGTCGTCATCATCGCTCTCAGTTGAATCACCGTCGTCGAAGTCGCTCTCCCAGTCAGACCCATCCTCCGACTGCACTTCCTCGTTGGTGCCTGCACCGCCGGGGGGTTGGCCTTCAGAGCCCTGCACGGAAACGGAATAAGGCCGGACTTGGTTAAGTCTGCTACTCACATGCGTGCAGTGAAAGCCCAACCTATACAGCAACATTACACATGAATGGGCTCACCTCTTCCATGTCTCCCTCATCTTCAGCATCTGATGTCGGCTCGTCTTCGGCAGTCAGAGATGCCTCGGCAAAATAGTCATTGATGTTAGCGAAGGGGTTGGCACGGAGGAACCGAAGGTACCGCCTGCGTTGCCTACGGCATTCATGACTATGCAGCTTGTGAGCTACCAGCGCTGTGCGTTGCGAGAAGTGCTCGAGGCACCATTCACAGGCAAAAAGGTAAGATACAGGCGGCATCGCAGCAGCTCGCCTTGCATGCTCTGTTTGATGAAATGCACATATTTTGAGGCCATATTTATCCCGTTAGCCGCAGACGGTTCAACAGACGGTTTACGTGCCAGATGATGCGACTGGCACGTTCTCCTGCCCGGCACCTACTAAAAATCTAGATACTAAGTTGAGCCAGCGCTGGACCCGCCTTCGAATGTGATGGAATGCGTGCGCTGACCTGTATAGGGTTTCATATGACTCGCACAATCATTCCGATTGTAGTGACACCTCACCAAGCGTGTAACGGATATTTCTTCAGATGCACCAAGTTTGCAAATTTCGTGGTTGCTATTTGTTTCTACAGCAGGACATGGCCTAAACACACAGCAGCTTGTAGTGTAATAACGAGTCATGCGAGTAAAATCTTGCAATCTCAAGAACACATTTTGCAAAGGCAAAGAACGCATTTTCTACTCATTCGTCCTCTGCAAGTTCTCATACACCCACTCACTTTTAGCTATGGCATCCTCCGCGTCCCAGTTCGTTTCGGGAACCGTGAACAACCACAAGCGACGCTGGCGGTGTGCACGCGACCGAGATAACACCGAGCCGTACAGCCGATACCAGGGCCCGACGTGGCTGCGCACAAGGACAGCCAAAACGAGGCCTGGTAACATTCACGTGTTTGTGCGCGACTACCCCGACATTGCAGCTGTTGTGATGCAAGCTGAATACTCACGATTGCTGGCCAGTGACGAGCAGCCGACTCCCAAAAAGATTGCGGACAGCATTGAGCACCTGGTAACTAATAGCCGCGCCGCGGCCTGGAAGCTGCGTCGTATCTCGGAAGACAATCT